GGCGAGACCAGGCCAAACTGGCATTGGTCAAAGAAGCATAGGTGCACACCAAGCTGTTGCTGCACTCTCTTCACCTAAGGCATCAGTCAGAAACAAGATGTTTAATTTGGTTTCTAATGGTCACCATAAACAAGATGTCTCCACATGAAAAGAAACCAACAAAGTTGAGAGGTGACAAGGGGAGCACATAAGAAAGCTTATGTGCACCCTTTGTGGCCTCTCAACTTGTCTTAGAACAAGTTGTTTGATACAAAACACTTCATAGTTCCATCAAGCCACAGAGGGTCGATCCCATGCCAGTGAACCAGCAGGGTGTTCAAACACGAAGAACAGTCCAAGGCTAATCTGAACCATTGCCATCCACATGGCGCAGTCAATCAGACGAAGCCCCTCCTCAAGGCGCAACCACCGCCGTTGTCGATTCATCCTGTTCCAGTTACTCCGCTGTAACTGGCACAGCATTGTGCAAGGTGGGGACACTATGATGAAGAGCGGTCGAAGCAGTAGGAGGTCCTGGATGACCAATCGTAAAAATCCCCATTCACCAAGATCCCACCAATGGGCAAGATCATATGATCTTCTAGCACGTCCATTGAGCGATCGAATCTTTGGAGTGCATCGGGGCTTGGAAAACAACTCCCATGCATGACAGCGTGTCATTGGTTCAGGGTCTGGTCCAGCCATCAACGAGTTCAAATCCTGAAATGGATGGTTAACCTCTGAATCAATGTTGGCAGCTGCCAGCTTCAGTGTTGAATCATCACAGTCCAAAAGATTCTCATTGGGTGGCTCCTTGGGACAGGTTGTGGACAACGGCGGTGATGACTTGGTAGTGGCAAGTGAGTGAACCTCAAAACCATCATCATCATCTGGGAGCACCAACGGTTTCGATGATGATGCATGCGCTGCTGGTCTTTTGGCAGCGGTCTTTGTCACACTTGTACTCTTGGTCTTCTTTTCTTTTTTGGACTTTCTGGTGCCAACAACAGGTGGCGACGTAGGCAGGGACAGGGTGTCAAAGAAGTCACCACTGTCATCATCTTCAGGAAGTTCAAGCATGGCTCAACCCGCCCAGCTTAGATTCAGGAGGTGGTCAAACACATCACTATTGTTTGCTTGGGATGTCCAGCCCTTCTCACGCAAAGCTGAACAAGGGACCAATTGCATACTTGTGCCATGGGGGGGTTGTCAACTCTTCAGATCTTGTGACACAACATCTACCCCAGCCCCCCTGGCCCCCCAAGAGCTTCAATTCCATGCCAGCAGGAAATCAAAAAGGCACAGACAAATGATTGATGGTAAGGCTCAACCCAAAGACATCACTCACCAGTGGCGGGGTCCAACCAAGCGAGGTCAAGAGACCACAAAATAAATAGGGCCAACTGTGTAGTAGTTGGCCCTATTCATTTTGTGTCCTTGTAAGACATCTCTTGTGGTTACACAAACATCTCATGAAGTGAAGATTAGAACAGGTTGACAAAATGCAATGACACTTAATAGACACTTATCTCAATTTTGTTGTTCTCCAGGTCCACCGTTCAGTGGTCCACTGAGCCAACCTTTTTGCAGTGACAGCTACGCCTCCCCACGACCACAGATATAGGTTTGGCCCATATCCATGCCCCAAGCTAAGCTAGGATTCGTACAACACCCAATGATGTTGTAGCACACCACACCAATCATGTTGCGATTGATGGGAAAACCCCTGCGGTTCAACCTAAGATCTAGTTCTTCAGACTTGCCTTGCCACGAGCACGCTTCCTGCCAGGCTCCTTGGCATTGGGCTTCGCTGCTTTGCATTTTCCACCTCCCTTTCCACGGCCAGCCACTCGACCGCGGGAAGCCGCTGGACCATGGGAGGAGGCATCAGGACAAGCATTTTCCTTTTTCAGGAACTCTTCAATCCCCTTCTCAGCCGATTCATGTTCTACACATAGCTTCCAGTAGACCCTTTCTTTGCCATCTCGCCAAAGGGTACTTGGGGCCAATTGGTAGAACTTCTCACGGCGGGAATCAAACAACTTTGCTGACTCAGTGTCAGTGGGCTTCTTCCTCCCTGCAAAAGTGGCTCTGGTAGGCCAAGGGGGGCATACCATCCCTAGCGTTGGAGCCCATACCATCACCAATGATAGGGCATGGATCTGCAGGGGCTGGTGGCACCACAGTGCCCCGTTTCCTGGAGGAGGGCCCAAAAAACGATCTCACCCTCACCCTGTGCCTTGATAGCTGCAGCCCTGGAAGTCTTGGCTTTCTTGGCTGGCTCATTTAGAATCTCACCCTCAGGCTTCTCACCCACAACAGGCTCAGGTTTCTTTCTGGGGCGTCCCCTTTTCTTGGGCACTGCATCAGCATGGTTGCCCTGCATGACAGTGACCTTCTTCACAGGGCCCGGTGCAAACTTCTCCCACCTTGGATTCTTTCAGGGTTCAAGAGAGGACTCAAAAATAATAGAATGTATTGGTATTATTGGTCCTCTTGACCTCTTGGAATGGAACGGCCCAAAAATCTCAACCCAAAGGCCCAAAGAACATCAGATAGAATACTATGGGTGCACAACAACTAAACCATTCCCACAGATTTGCAAACACCTTATTAATAAGTTGAGGCTCCCTTCCGGGGACTGGTGCACACCAAGAGGGCGAATGTCATCAGACCACCACCACTTTGGTTCTGGGACAGCAGGCCATTCTTGGCTCTCATTCTGGTCCTTAGTTGGTGAGGGAGGGAGATGGGTGTTGTTTTAATGAAATGATTCAGATGTGTATTTCCACCTGTGGCAATTTGCTGTTTAATTTTTAGAAGATTTAGAAGGCAAATTGGAGTGGACATATTTGTTCCACAGAGGTTTCCCCAAAGTCCTGCCAGATAGGCCAAGTGTCCAGCCAATCACGCAAGGCCTTTGCAGCCTTCACCAGGCACCAGGGTTCCTTCTCCACAAGATCAGCCGTTTTGCGAAACCTGAGGGAAGTGGTGCCAAGTCTCACTATCACATTGCCATGTGTGACTTGCTCTTAAAGTTTCAGGGGGGAAAGAAGAACTGAAAGTTTGTTGGAAGTAAACTGCTGCGGGTAAGAAACTCCTTTCTTGCACGATCTGCCACCAGCTTTCGTGGTAATGCTTCAAGTGGCTTCTTGAGCAATTTCTGGAAGCTAGCAGGAAGGAGAACCAAGGGAGATTGTGAGAGTGATGGGGAATTCACCAGGTGCTTCACCAGCAGGACACAGTCACTAGCATCGTGTGGGTAGTCTTCCTTATTATTGAGCCGTGGCCATTTGTCACCAAATCAAAATTGAAAACACGGTTCTTCATTACCACTTTCCTGCTTTGGATTTCAGGTACCAGGTAACACAAAGTCCCCAATATTCTGCTAAGTTTCACCTGGGATTTCCACAGGCACCCAAGACTCATCAGTGGCATCATCATAGACTGGAAGGTCCTTGGTGCACATATTCTAGGTGAACCAGGTGAACCCACACATTAATATATTGTATGCAAATCATGAGGCAAAGTTCCCAAAGACATAGGGGGGCCCACTAGCCTACCAACCAAGAAGTTGCCAATGAGCAAAAATAAGGGTCACTGCGGCGAATGAAGCGCCAACAGTGGTTGGGATCAGCCACATCATGGTAAGTGTTCACTAAACCTGCAACTTCAACCCCAAGCTGGGACACATAGCTCTTGAAGTCCAATGTCCCTGGAAGGAGTTCAGCCTTCAGCTTGCGCCCTCGGGCCGGCTTCACGTTCTCCAGGATCACTTGAACAAAATCCTGACAGGATTTGGGGTCCCATCAACCACCAAGTAAGTTCTAACTCCCAATTGAACATTAGGCTTTTGTCATGGCACCACCAAGTAAGTTCTAACTCCCAATTGAACATTAGGCTTTTGTCATGGCACCACCTAAGTTCTAACTCCCAATTGAACATTAGGCTTTTGTCATGGCACTCCTGGGGAGTCTCAATCACCCTCTGGGCAGCAAAGGCAGCAGAAATAGTCCCAAGTCGCTGGTCAATAGGCCCGTGTGTGTGGCCTACCTGCCCAAAAATGTGTGTACAGCTTCGCCACCTGAATTACCAGGCCAGTGAAACAGTAGCAACACAATTTTGGTTCAAAAACAAACCAAATAGAAAGTACAAAACCCTGATAAGGCAGCACCACCAATAAATATTAAGGGCTTAGGTGTTCAAAGGTTGGAGACCATTGGGAAGCCAAGGAACCGATTGTTCACAATTCCAACAGCATTCATCTTCATCATAATTTGGTTTTTCCCCTCACGGGGGGCAATTGTCCGTCTGCAGGGGTCAGGGTTTTGTTTGGAACACATGGTTGAATCTTCATTGTTGCTATCAACATAACTTCCAATGCAGTGTGTCTTAACACAAAACAGCTACTGCCCCCCGTTGTTCATCCTTAGTAGGCACCTCCAGGATCAAATGCTCAGGAAGCGATTTCCCTTGACGGGCCAACTCCTCCTCAGCCCAATCAATTGCTTTGAGCAGCACTGTCACCTCCGCTGAGGAGTTGTTGGCAATATCAGGCTCAAGGAGCAGATATCCTTCCAGCACCTGGGACAGAAGGTTTCTGCCAAAGAGGATGGTGTAAGAGCTCTCAATGATTTACCACAGTAAACTATTAGGAAACCAGGAAACCATAGATATACAAAGACTTGTTGAAGTATTTCCCAGTGACGCCCCACACGATAACACCCACACAGTGCAGCTGTGGGCGCCATGCAGCAGCTAGAGTTTTGCTACTGTCAAGGTTCCTGGGAAACCGTGTTTTGTTCTGGTCTAGGCCGTCGATGTCAATCTTCAAGATGTTGGAACCCTCTGTTTTGCTCAAAATATTCAATCGATTCTGAATGAGGCGATATTGCTGGACGTTGGTTAAATGCTGGCGCTGGTTGTCTTCCAGCTTGGACCGCTCCAACTCTGCTGTTGCTCGCCTGCACCTGGCACTGAACTCTGCACAGATGGAGCACCTATCAGGGCAGCCAACAAGAGAGTGAAAGCCAAAGATCAAAGACCTTTCTTAATGTTTCTTATTTGTTAAAAGTCAAGCTTTTGAGAGGACCCTGCACCGTGCATGCTGTGACACTGTGCGCATCCGCAGTTTGCCCTTCCATGTCGATTCATATACTTCACGGAAGCAACGGGAACTTGCAATCTCATCTTCTGGCACAGCAGCCCCCTGGCACCACAGCATGTACATCTCGTGGAAAGATTCAATAGTCATATGAGTCATGTACCGCGGCTGCAAGCCTTGGACAAAGGAGAGCACCCACAAAGTTTGGTCCAAGTTTTGGGTGAACACTATTAGTGTTGGGAGAGGGCAAAGAGGGAGACAGCTTTTCCAACAGCAAGCCCAAGAACCCTCACGCATAGTAGCAGCAAGTGGAGCGCTTCCATTCAAAGATGCCAAGGCTGCCTCTGAGTGGACTACCTGCCCTTGGAAGAATGAAGGCGGCAACTCTGAGGATGTCTCACCTGGGAGGGACCAGGGTGCAAGGGCAACCAGGTATCAAGTAGGCATGAGATTGGGCGTAACAGTATTTGATATGTTCCCCACAAGTCAATCTTGAAGCTCTTTTTCAGCTGCAGTTTCGTTGAACAGAATAACATAAAACTTGCTTGTCTAGTGGTTCAAGGGGCTTGGCAAGAAAATGCCAGATGTGCACATTGCAGCTCCTTGAAGTTCTTCAAGCGGTGGCGTTTCAGCCAAGGGTTCTGCCTAGCAAGGGTCTTGCAGCAGAGTCACTACAAAAAAATGAGAAACACACAGGTTGCCACCCTGATTGATCACTTTGGTTCAGTCTGATTTTGGTTGGTGCTGAACAAAATAGTTACCAATCTAAGGGCAAGGATCAAAGTGCCAGTAAAAGTATGTGAAGTAGGCATCTGCACTTGCACTCTTGGCCGTTGGCGTACGCCCATTGAACTTCCTTTGATCCACTGGCACTGAGTTTGAAGAGATGCCAGGAAGCAAGCGCAAGACCTTATGATGGCATTGGTTTTGGAGAAGTGGTGGAACCAACACCATAGGTATTGAACAATCTACATAAAACCCAATACTCCTATATTCCCTGATCACGACCCTGCCATCCATACTGTTCAGGGCAAGCACAGCATTCCTTTTCTTTACCCAGCCACCCTCTTCTCGTTGACACCAAGAAGGCCACAAAATGCTGAGCGGCACAGTGGGAATCCACACAAGGCATACTTCAGATTCAGGTTTGTAGCCTGATAGCTAGACTGGACTGGTCAAAAGTAAGCTGGAAGTTCTCCCCTACACCACTTAGGCACCAAAACAAAAACAATAAAGTAGGCTTCAAGTTCTAGCTGCATCATCAGAGTCAGACATAAGCTTTTGCAGCATTCCAAGCACAAAGCGGTTGGTCTCCTCCTGGTTCAGGTCCTTCATTTGCGCCCGGATGTCCTGTGGGCATTGCATGGCAGAGCAGAAGTGCTTTGGCTATGGTGGTGATGTCACATGACTTTGATATGATCTTCTATTCTTATTTCCAATCTCTGTAGGAAGGGTATAGGCAGCAAGTGTGTTTGTGTGTGTGTTCACCAACCATGTCCTCAATCATCTTGACTCTGCCAGAATTGGCCCGGTAGTGGTGAACACACAATTTTGAGCAGCACTTCCATGGTTTCTCAGCAGAGAGCCTGATTCTGAATGTGAGAAGATCTAAAGATTGAGAGGCTAGTCAGCTAGTCCCCTTGAAACAAATACATGTTCTATGTCGTGAGGGTTCATTTTAATATGATGTCGACATAGATTAAACAAACACAAAGTAAACTAACAACCTAATGAACATTACAGAACAACACTTGTGTACAGTTTACAATATGTCACTCTGATATGGAGTTGGGACTGTGCTAATACAAAGGCCAAGAAACGCATCCTCCAAAAACTCAAGGCGCTTTCGAGCTGGGGTCTTGAGAGGAGGATCCGGGATGGCCTTGTGGGTCATCTCTAGGAGATTTGGGCCTGCATGGATCTCCGGCCCCTGCTCATCATCTGAGGGCAACTCCATGGCAAGCAGGTGAACCGCCCTAAACAAGAAAGGCCCTTGGCAACAGATGTAATGGATCAAAACACTAAGTTTTTACATTGGGTTGGCATGGTGGGTGGAGATCTTTGAGGTAGGATGA